CGTCTGCAATCCTGCCCGGCAAAGCTCTCCGCATCGAGCGGTTGCCGGATTTTGGTGCCAACCGGAATTCCTGCCCTGATTTTTGCGGCGGCGTGCAGGAAGAGAAGAGCAACAGGGGAATTTGTGCCGTGTAACCGGAGTCTGGGAGCGCCAGCACACTGGAGATGCCCAGATGTAGGAGCCACGGGCAACAGACGGCCGCTCCGTAGGGGATCCGATGGGAAACGTGCCGGCTGCTCCGTGACAGCCTGCTCCAAGCTGGATACCCGAGCTTGGGAATGCTGTCGCAGCGACAACAAGCTGCGCGGGGAGGAGGAGGAGGAGGGGAGGAAGCAGCGCACGCACAAGCCTCACCGTGGCCTGCGCGGCTATCAAGGCAGCCAACATGCTGCGGCCGGGAGGGCCGGGAGCGCAGAAGGAGACTCGGACGTGATTCCCGGCGAGCGGCAAACCATCCGTGGCCGTCTTAACCATCTCCGCCCCCTCCGCCGACTCGTACTCCAGGACCGCGAAGCCTTTCAGCTGCCCGTCCTGGCCGTAGGCCAGCTAGGAGAGGGATGCCAAAAAGGAGGATGAGGACAACGGGAAAAGAGGGAGCAAGCACCACCGAGACCCAAGAGATCCTCACACAGCCGTGGGACCCCGGGGAGCTGCTCTCTACGGGCTCTCAAACTCCCCGTGAGCGTGCGGGGACTCGGAGAGAGGCCGCGCACCCCAAAAAATCCCCCCCTCTGACCTTCTCACCTGGCAAAAAGTGGGGGCGCAGGTGGCGGAGAAGACCTGCCGCAGCTCCTCGAGGTCGGCGTAGTTGTGAGGCAGCTTGTCGACGCACAAGCACTTGGAATGGAGAAGGTCTAACGTCAACTGGTTGACGTCCGTCCAGTGGACGTAAAGAGTCCGCGTGCCCAGCTGCTTCCCCAGCAGATCCGACTTGGCTCTAGCCGCCGAATCCTTTTTCATATACTCCACAAATCCGTAACCTTTGGAGTGTCCCGTTTTCTCGCTGTAGACCAGGAAACAACGTTCCAGGTTGCCAAAAGGTCGGACCAGCTCCTCGAATTGTTGCTGGGTGTAGAGCTGAGGGAGGTTGGCGATACACAGCAGGGCGTCCGTGGGCTGCAGCTGCACCGAGATCTCCTTGTCCCGGAGTTTGCTCAGGTGGAATTTTTTGATGGCCGATTCCGCCTGTTCCCCGTTGAGCAAGGTGACAAACGCTGCGGGAGCAGAGCCGGGAGGGAAGGGTGAGGCTGTGCGGCACCCTTGTCACCCCAAAACATGAGGTGCAGGGTTAAACCCCGGGGAAAATTCATCCCTCCGGCCACCGTTAGTGCCCCAAGCTGAGGGGAGAAGCGGGAGGGAAGGTCTCGGCGAGCACCGGCTGGTGAAATCACGCCGTCCTTGGTGAAGTGACCCCATCCCTGAGCTCCGGGGAGACACCGGGGACAGGGACGGCGGCCCCAGGTCCCAGCCACCCTCACCCCCTCCCCAACAGAGGGGACGCCGCGGTGCCGGATTCGATGTCGACAGCAGCTTACTCACCAGTCCCTTTGTATTTGTCCACAAAGCAGTATTTCAGCTCGTAGTCGCTCAGCAGATCGTGGACTTCCTGGATAAACAGAGAGATTTTAAGTAAAATAATAATAAAAAATGAAAGGTATCAGTTTCTAGGGAGGAGCTCCAGCAGGTCCCCTAACTCCTACCGGTCACCACACATGGCACCCCCAAATAGTTCCCCTCTCCCCAGCTTGGGAGGGGGCGCAGAGAGGGAACGGGCTCGATTCAAAGCAAAGACGCTCCCCGGGAATCCTCATCGTGCGCTAAAACCAGCCCTCGGGCCCTAAAATCATGCTCCCTCCTTGCAGCGTCACCTGCCTTGTCCCGGCTTTGACACCCC